GTATAGCCTTTTCATTAATGAGGAGCTGCCACATTGTCATGAGATGGATGGATGGGTTTGGTGATGGGCCTCAGGCAAGTCTCCTTTCTTTAGTTCTTTTGGGCTTTCTTTCCTTTAAGTCCAAAGTCTAAATATTAACCCAAACAGTTTCAATAATTTTGCCCCACTCCGGGCCGTGATTTCTCTTCTTCTTAAAAATTGCTTTAAAATTTGGTTCCCTGTGCAACTTATGGCAAATCACATTGGGGTCAATCCCCAACATATCCTCTATAAAGTAGGCAAAAGCATCCCTAATTTCCTGTAAAAACTGGGTGAAAAGCTCCTTCTCATGTCTAGAAAATTTGGCTCCGATATTGGTCATCCGCACTAGCTTCTCCAAATCCAACACCATATATTCCGTGAACTCGTCCGCCTTTGGTCCGGCAACAATCATCCTAAGGGTTAAGTTCAATATCAAACTCACTTTATTTAGTACCATTTTTAAATCTTGATAATTGAGAATCCAGTAATATTTATTATTAAAATAAGGAAATATTTTTTGAAATGCCATATGGCATATACGCCTTTTTCAATTTGTCATATGAACTAAAATTTTAAGCAATTTGTCATATCAGCTTTCGAAGTCATTAATTTGTCATCTTATTCTAACTCCATTAAGTTTTCTGTTAAAAATAAGCCATGTGACTTGCACATGACTTATTTTCAAGATTATTTTGGACAATTCAATTCCCCACTTCAAATTATGTCGGAAGTTTCATAGTTATTTTGAACATTTCAACTCATTTTCTTTATGGACATGAATGACCAAGTTGAATTCTCAAAACTTGCAAGTAGTTAAAATTCATGTTAGTGAGCCTAATATCTTTTGGGAAATTTTATTTGAACGCATATGACCCCACTCTAAACCAAGTTTACTCTCTACGACCATATTATTTTTAATGAAACTATTAATATCTATTTAAACATAATTTTACCATCTAAACTATCCTCACAAGTCCAATTTAATTAATATGTAAATTTATCTTTATACCCATTTTATTTATGTGTCACAACGAGAACAACCATAACCACTGCCGTTGATCTATTGGAGCCAATATGCGATGTTGCAAAAGATTATGGCATGTGGGTTCATGTGGATGTTGCATATGTTGGGAATGCTTGCATTTGTCCCAAATTTCGCATTTTATTGATGGAACCAAGGGTGCAAATGCGTTCCGTCTCAATGCACATAAATGGTTCTTAACTACTCTCAATTGTTGCTACCTTTGGCTTAAGAATCCAAGTGCATTGACAAACTCAATGCTATGAATCTTGAGGAGTTGAGGAACAAGGCCACATATTCAAAGCAAGTGGTGGACTACAATGACTGGCAAATAGCCTTAACCCGGAGGTTTCGGGCCATGAAGGTATGGACTGTTCTTAGAAGCTATGGCGTGGAAAACCTTAGAAACTTTATGAGAAGTGATGTAAAAATGGCCAAGCGTTTTAAAGGTCTTGTGGGGATGGACCAAAGGTTTGAAATTGTTGTCTGAGGAATTTCTCTTTCGTCTGTTTTAGGATTTCACCATCGGCAATTAGCAAGAAGACTCCAACTCCAAGTGATGAAAACGGTGTTATTAACAAGGTGAATTGAAGTTTTTGGAGTCCATTAACGAAGTGATAGAAAAGTGTGAGCCTCACTTCCCTTGTACTTGATGGTAAGTATGCAATGGGGTAAAAAAGACAATTCACATTTAATGTTTTAAGTTGGGTATAGAATGAGGTTATATGGGTAACATCTCATGTTTTTTCATTAGTTGACATTATGTTTTTGAAACGAACCCGACATGTTAATGAATCCGACATGTTCTATTTACCAACCAAATGTCTTGGGTTCGTACTAAAGAGAAGTAGAGGACTTGTGAAAAGGAGGTCTAAAGTCCCAAAACCAATTTATTCCCCTACCCCATGTGTGTGTGTGTGTATCTATGTATAAGAATACAAAATAAAATAAAATAAAATTGTGTAAAGGGCTCAAATGGCTGGAATAAACCTGAACACAAGTCATGTGCATTGTGCTTGATTTATTTTGGATGGAAAATTTAATCGAGTTAGGTGAGATGACAAATTAATGATTTCAAAATCTTGATATTGACAAATCGCTTAAAATTTTAGTTTATATGACAATTTGAAAAAAAATGTATAAGTTCATATGACATTTCAAAAAGTTTCCCGTAAAGTAATTTTACTTACTTAATTTTGCCATTGTGATTTACTATTAGGTTTTCTTAGTTAAAGAATAATGTTAGGCTTGAGTGTGTTATATGAGAGCAACTTACATGAAACATGCTTACTGACATGTGACATCCCTTGTCCAATAGTGCATTGGCATATGTAAGTTTTCTTCACATGATAATATATTATAACATCAGGACGCCACGTGACGATGAACCTGTTTTATGTAAGTCTTTATGTTGCATGATACTATTTTGCATGCATTTATTTTGACTTTTTATGTACCTATTTTTTTAGTAGGTTCCTTAATTATTTGAAAGGTTTTGGAGATTATGGATGAGGTGTAGGCTAATGATATGACTGACTGGAGTTGTACTTGAAGAATGTGCGACGCTTTCTTCCTCGTTCGAAATATTTACGTTTGAGTTTTGAATAGACTTTGTGCTTTCTGATATACAACCTTATGATATTTTATAAAGCATCTTATTACCAAAAAAAAAAAGAAAAAAATAACAGTATGAATTAAGAAATAATTAATCATAATTAACTTATATAAACATATCACATTTTTATTGGAGTAATGACAGCCATGAACTACTATCTCTTTTGTCATCAATTAACACGTGTGTCAAGCATCTTTTGAACAAATAATTTAATTTTTGAACATATGAAAAACATTAATCAGACGAATAACACCCAAAATTATATTTTATAAGATTTTTTTTTTTTTTGAACAAATAATATTTTACATTAAGGGACCTCACAATGAAGTGGCTATAATAATGTAATTTAAATTCGTTTTTAGCAAAAGTTAAGCCTAAAACCTCTTACTTATAATAAAAAAGAGTACAACTAAACCGTAATAATAAAAGACGACATCTTTTATTTTTTATTTTTATTTTTTGAAAACTAGGAATTCACATTCCAGGGCAAAAAAGCCAAACAGGGACAAGAAAGCCTTACAAGAGGCAAACACCAAGAAAGACCAACCAAGACCAAGGCAATGAGCAGGGATACAAGCATCAGACACTTCCACCAAGTAAAAGTGTCACCCCAAACACCACCATAACAAAGCTAATGAGAACACGGAAGACCATCATTACACAAGACATAAACTAACGAAGATGGGGGCCTATCGACCCAAACAAAATTGCACATCTTCGTAAGACCAGCTGATGCAAGAACATCCACTGCACAATTGGCTAATCTTGGCACCCAAGACCAGCGACAGATTTGGAAAGCCCCACTCAACCGTTGAAACATTGCCAAGATGGGGAAAACCTCCCATCTACCATTATCAATAGGACCACTAAGACAAGATATCACTTCAAGAGAATCAGATTAAAAAATAATAGAACTAACACCCAACGAGACACCCAACTCGCAACCCCGTAACAGCGCCAGAGCCTCAGCCACAGCAGAAGAAGAAGCCAGAAGAGGGTATCTTGCAGCAGCCAAAAAACACCCTCCTTCCTTCCTAGCATCCAAATTTATTTTAATAAAAGGAGAAGTAGAAGGACTCCACCGTGTAACCAGAGCATTCCGAGAACCAACCGCAGAACTGTGAGTTCCTAACTCCTTCATCGCATGCAAAAAAAATCCCGATGCATTAGAAAGTGCAAAGGGCACCTTAGAGGGATTAATAGAGACTTGGTTGAACACAAAATCGCATCGGGCTTTCCAAATATACCAACATGTGAAGGCGACATAAGACTAAAACCAATTTCGGTTAACTGAGGACCCCCAATTAGATAAGACTGCTTGCAACCAAAGAACCCATGAAGGGATACTAGCTCTATCAATTTTGTAATTAAGAGCACCACCAAACCAAAGAACCTCTACCCAAGGACACCCTAGAAAAACATGCTCAACAATTTCATCATCGCAAAGACAAATAGGACAAGTAAGGGATGGGGATAACTGCCTTGCTGATGAGTTGGGCTGTATTCTTGGTATGCCAGTGGTGGATAATCTTGGAACTTATTTAGGTGTTCCTGCCATTTGGGGTCATTCGAAGAAGCGTGGCCTTGCTTATGTGAAGGGGCGAATCTTGGGGAAGTTACAAGAGTGGAAGCAGAGCACTTTGTCAAGAGCAAGAAGAGAAGTTCTAATTAAGGCTGTGGTCTAGGCTATTCCTTCATATCCTATGAGTATTTTTAAATTTCCCGTAGTTGTTTGTCAGGAATTAGATGCCATGGTTGCTAGCTTTTGGTAGGGAAGCATCGGTGAAAAGCGGAAAATTCATTGGGTATCTAAGGAGGTCTTAGGCCTTGCTAAAGATTTGGGTGGTTTGGGCTTCAGGAACTTTCAAGATTTCAATGATGCCTTACTTGCTAAGCAACGTTGGAGGTTAATTTTGGAGCCTCATTCGCTTTGGGCTCGAGTTATCAAGGGCCGTTACGTCCCGAATTGTTCATTTTGGGAAGCTAAAAAGGGGAGCAAGGCTTCGTGGGCTTGGTCCAGTCTCCTCACGGGTAGGGAGTTGTTGTGGAGTGGCTCCCATTGGCAGATTATGGGGGGTGAGGAGGTGCGTGTCTGGGTGGATAAGTGGCTACCCTCTTTACCTTTGGGGGACCCTGTACCGCTTGGTGAGGTTGCGATTACTAAAAATTTGTGGGTTAGCTCTCTTACTGGCTCCTCTTCCCGTGAGTGGGAGATTGATTTTTTGCAACCGTTTCTCTCTCAGGAGGATCAAGAGGCTATAAAAAAAAAACTCTGATTGGAGACCATTTGAGGAAGGATCGTCTAGTTTGGGCTGCTTGCAAGAATGGGAGATATTCGGTAAAGGCGGGATACCAATGGCTTCGATCTAGGTCCTTAGATTTAAGGGATCATCGGCTGCCTGGTGCTCGTTTGGTCCCGAAGGAATTATGGAAATGATCTGGCGCTTGAAGGTGCCTCCTAAAATTCGTCATTTCCTATGGTTATCGCTAGGCGACATCTTTTATTAGCAATAGCAATTGTGTAGAAAACTAGTCAGTAGGGTCTGTCTCACGGGAAAATAAAAAAATAAAAAAACAAATGATAAAAATTAGAGAGAGCAGGGTAAGATAAAAAGGGCAAAACTGTGTCCCGCGGATCGAGTAGCTCTATAGAGACTTATGAGAATGTAAACTGGTTTCTCTAAATATGATATAAATATCCAACCATTTTTTTGGATCTGATATCTCTCTACACTCCCTAGGTCGCTGCATCTGCTCGACTCAAATTTTGACGCAGGTCAGTCTCTCTCTCTCTCTCTCTCTCTCTCTCTCTCTCTCTGCTAATCTGCAGATCTCAAAACTTGATCATTCTTTTCTGTTTGGTTACCGAGAAAATTGAGATAATCTATTCTTATTGACGTAAAATGATGCCGGATTTACATGGAAAAGAGCTTCTGGTTTTTGTTTGATTTCAACTTTTCTCTCGGCAATTGATTAGCGCTGAAATATGTGATTTGATTGATTAATGCTTTAGCTTGTTTCTTATTCCGAAGCTAAATCTTGTCCGCTTCTTTTGTTTATTTGTTTGTTGATCTGAAATGGTAGAATTTGATTTGAAATTGAAAAGAATTCTTCTTCGTCTGCTTATAGAAATTGCAACAAGGCTTGAAAGTAAATGTAGACGCAGATCAGTAATGTACATTTGATTAATTCAGCCAACGCAATTTCGTTAAGGCTAGAATTTCAGATCTGATGTTTTCTGTTTCGAGCAAATTCGAAAATGGTTTTTCCCTTTTACTAGTACAAGTACCGTTTTCTTGCAAATTACAATCGACTCTGTCTGATAATCCTTCCTGTGAATCGCTGCAACAAGATCCTGAATATACGCGACAGAAGAGGGGGGTTTCGTCAGTCTGTGCAAAGGCATGATGGAAACAGGTGTATATGAAGTAGAGAAGTCATGCAACATTTTGTTGAGCTTGTTCACTATAGTAAACTTTGCATGAATCCTTCTGATTCTACATGAAGACAAATACATATAATGCGCTGGAGTTGTTGGGTAGTATGAACATCTAAATGACATATTGATAAACTTGGTGATTACATTTTCTGCTCTTAAAGCGTGGCGCTTAATGTGTTGAGCTAAAAATTTTGTATTATTAGGAGATAAGTCAAATTTAAACATCTTAGATGTGAATACGCAGCAAACTATATAATGCATTGCCCTTTATGTTCCTTGACAAACAGCCCAGTCATATATATATATATAATTATATATGTATGTGTATGTATTGGTTACCACATGCTTAAGTCATTCCATTGATTATTTAAACTCATAGGAAGCCATTGTTTTTCAGGAAGCAAAAAAGAAATGGAGAAATCTTGTAGTCTGCTTGTTCACTTTGATAAAGGGACACCTGCAATTGCTAATGAAATCAAGGAATCTCTCGAGGGCAATGACGTGGATGCAAAGATTGATGCAATGAAAAAGGCAATCATGCTTTTGTTGAATGGTGAAACGTTACCTCAACTTTTTATTACAATTGTCAGATATGTTTTGCCTTCTGAAGACCACACAGTCCAAAAGTTGTTGCTTCTATATTTGGAAATAATTGACAAAACTGATCAAAAGGGTAGGGTCTTGCCTGAAATGATTTTAATATGCCAAAATTTGAGGAACAACCTACAGCACCCCAATGAGTATATTCGTGGTGTAACTTTGAGGTTTCTTTGCCGATTGAACGAGGCTGAAATAGTTGAGCCCTTGATCCCCTCTGTTTTGCAAAATTTGGAGCATCGGCATCCTTATATTAGAAGAAATGCTATATTAGCTGTGATGTCTATATATAAGCTACCAAACGGGGAGCAACTCTTGGTTGATGCACCTGAAATGATTGAGAAGATTCTTTCTACAGAGCAAGATCAATCTGCTAAGAGGAATGCATTTCTTATGCTCTTTACTTGTGCCCAGGAACGTGCAGTTAATTACCTTTTGACCAATGTTGATAGGGTGTCTGAATGGGGTGAATTGTTGCAGATGATTGTGTTAGAGCTGATACGAAAAGTGTGTAGAACAAACCGTGGAGAGAAGGGGAGGTACATTAAGATCATTATATCTTTGCTGAATGCGCCTTCAACTGCAGTTGTATATGAATGTGCTGGGACACTTGTTTCCTTGTCGTATGCTCCTACTGCTATTAGAGCTGCTGCCAATACCTACTGTCAGCTGCTTCTTTCTCAGAGTGACAACAATGTGAAGCTTATTGTTCTTGATCGACTGACCGAGCTAAAGTCTTCTCATAGGGAAGTTGTGGTTGATATGTTCATGGACGTGCTTAGGGCACTTTCTAGTCCAAATCTTGACATCAGGAGGAAGACCCTAGACATTGTTCTTGACTTGGTTACTCACAAGAACATCAATGAGGTTGTTCTTACTTTGAAAAAGGAAGTGGTTAAGACTCAGAATGGCGAGCTAGAAAAGAATGGTGAATACAGGCAGATGCTTATTCAAGCCATTCATTCTTGTGCAATAAAGTTCCCAGAAGTTGCGAGCACAGTGGTACATCTGTTGATGGATTTCTTGGGAGACAGCAATGTTGCTTCTGCTGTTGATGTGGTTATTTTTGTCCGAGAGATAATAGAAACCAACCCTAAATTGAGGGTATCTATAATAACAAGGCTTTTGGACACTTTCTACCAAATCCGAGCATCACGGGTTTGTACTTGTGCCCTTTGGATTATTGGAGAATATTGCCTCTCACTTTCTGAAGTTGAGAGCGGAATTGCAACAATTAAACAGTGCCTTGGAGAATTGCCCTTTTTCTCAGTTTCAGAAGAAGAAAGTAATGATTCTTCAAAAAAGGTTCCACAACTGAACTCCATGACCGTGTCTTCTAAAAGACCAGCTATTCTTGCTGATGGAACTTATGCCACTCAGAGTGCTGCATCTGAAACTGTTTTCTCCCATCCTACCCTTGTTCAAGGATCCTTAGCATCCGGGAACTTGAGATCGCTGCTTCTCAGTGGTGACTTTTTCCTTGGAGCAGTTGTTGCATGCACTCTGACCAAGCTTGTCCTGAGATTGGAAGAGGTCCAGCCATCAAAAGTTGAAGTGAATAAAGCATCTTCACAAGCACTGTTGATAGTTGTCTCTATGCTGCAATTAGGACACTCTCCAGTTCTTCCACATCCAATTGACAGTGATTCTTATGATAGGATTGTCCTCTGCATAAGGTTGCTATGCAATACTGGTGATGAGATCAGAAAAATATGGCTGAAATCTTGCCGTCAAAGTTTTGTTGACATGCTTTCAGAAAAACAATTTAGGGAGACAGAAGAGATAAAAGCAAAGTCTCAGATTTCTCATGCACAACCAGACGACCTTATTGACTTTTACCATTTAAAGAACAGGAAGGTACAACTTTCGCATTCATTGTCCTCTATATATATCTAGCCTTATGTGCAAATTCTGTAAAATCTGATATAATTTACGGAGTTGCCTTTCACTATTTCCATTTCAATTTTTATGCTGACCAATTTAGATAACTTGTGATGTACTAGATACACTACACTGTATGGTTGCTTATCTGTTAGTTCTTGCATTGTTTTTGGGTTAATTTGATTTTAGTACCCTGATGTTGCTTGTTCATACCTGTGGTTTCAATTTGGAGTCTTTAGCACCCTTTCCTCATGAGATTTTGACAATATGGTTCTGTCATTAGGATGACTGTCCGGGGAATCATCAGTTGATGATGTGTCATATGTGGGGCCCACTTTTTTTGCTTAAGTGGAAGATAATTAAAGCCACGCATAATAGAAAGTACAATTGTTTAGAATGGTTACAAATTATCATTGCATACAATGATTGATTAAAAGATACAATTGCTTATGTCAGAAATGTATCATATGAAAATGTGGTTTTCTCATTCTTCTCCTGGTGGGCTTATGTCTTTTGAGTGACATGCTGTTTATCTTGCTATCTTTCACAAGGATATATTATGGTCTTAGTCTATGTCTAGAATTTGCTTACTGTTGGTTTTTCTAGCCCATGAGGAGTTGCTTAAGTCTATTAGGAATTATAGTCTTAGAGGATTAAATTGGTTTCCCAATTGAAGTTGGTTTCTCAATTGGAGAAGGATTCATAACTAGATTCCAATTAGGATTAGTATTCCTTATTGAAGAATACCTTTTTATGTCTATACAAAGAGGGGCTTTTGCACTAGTTTTCAATTGGAGCAAAACAATAAGTTGTTTACCACTCAAGGAGTTAGAGTGAGAGAATTTTAAGGGCAAAGGTGTGAAAAAGAATTGAAAAGAGATCAGAGTTTATTTCTTGTTCTTGTTCTTTCAGGTTTTCTCATCAAGTCTTAATTCTAGAGGCTTGACAAGATTATTTGTTGTACTCATTATTGATATAGTGAAAGTTTGTCGTTACTGCCCCGTGAACGATAGGCACATATAGCCAAACCACGTTAATTCTTGGTGTTATATATCTTGGTTATTTGTTTCCGGTTTCCTATGTTTTGTTTGTTTTTCCAATTCATAAATGCGATATCACAACACTTGCACACTTAAGGTTTCATTGGAATCTATGTTCCAAGTCAGGTCTAGGTAGTTTCGAACAAGCCTTTATTTTGAATCTTTTGGATTCTATTGGTTTGTGATTACTAAATTTGATATTTTTGTAAAACATACTTGATGCATATTGGATTGGTATTATATTTAAATTAATTCTCTATTCTACATCTAAAATGAAGGGTATGAGCCAACTGGAACTGGAAGATGAGGTTCAAGATGATTTAAAACGTGCTACAGGAGAGTTTGTCAAAGATGGGGATGATGCAAACAAGCTTAATCGAATCATCCAACTCACTGGATTTAGCGACCCAGTGTATGCCGAAGCATATGTGACTGTTCATCATTATGATATTGTCCTTGATGTCACTGTTATCAATCGAACCAAGGAGACCTTACAGAACTTGTGCTTGGAGTTGGCAACCATGGGTGATCTTAAGCTAGTTGAGCGGCCACAGAATTATACTCTAGCTCCTGAATCTAGTAAGCAAATAAAGGCTAATATCAAGGTGTCCTCAACTGAGACTGGAGTCATATTTGGAAACATTGTTTATGAGACCTCGAATGTGCATGAGCGTACAGTTGTTGTCCTCAATGATATTCATATCGACATTATGGACTACATCTCTCCTGCTGTTTGTAGTGATGGAGCTTTCAGGACCATGTGGGCAGAGTTTGAATGGGAGAACAAGGTATGCAGCATTCATTTTTGGCCTGATTCCTACATCAATAATAAAGTTGCTTGCATAAATTTTGCTGGCACCGCTAGCTTTGGGGGCATTGCAATATTTCTGTTACTGTTTTATCAAATAATTAAATTTTATTAATTTTTGTGGTTTGATGAATTTTTCTTGTCTTGGTTGCCTTTTTTTCCCATTTTGAACTGAGTCTATGTCCTTGTATCCTTTCTGGTTTGATGAATTTGTCTTGTCTCAGTTGCCGTTTTCTCCCTTTATGAAGTCAGTCTATCTTTTTGTATCTGTGTCATGTATAGATTGGCGGGGATTTTTTTTTCCCTCATCTACTATTTAAGTGTCTCAGTCTGTAGTGACACACATTTTGTTGGGTACGTAACGAATAGGGAATACAAAAATACTGCACTTAATAATAGGTAAATACATTACAAGTACATGAATCCTGCAGCATACATTGAATGTAGTACGTCGCCTATGATATTATATATGTACATGCTGATAAAAGACAAGGAAGAATTGATTTTTCTGCAATCACTCTCTAAAAGTTCTGTGACAAAGGTAATAGCTAAATATGAAGTGATGTGGTGGATGAAACTTTCTAGTTGATGAAAATTTCGTTTATGCAGGGAAAAATGTCCTTTCATTCAATATTAAGTTGATGTTGTTGCCTTTTTTTTTTCAGTGTTACTTACTCTTGTTTGTTTACTTGTTATTAACTGGTCAAAGTAAACTTTACTTAGTGATATCTTGTTTTTGTATTGTGTATGAATGGTCGTAATTGTCTTTTTTTTTTTGTTTGTTTTTGTTTTATGAGAGCAAATGGTGTTAAATCTTGATGACATTCTGTTCCGTTTCAGGTGGCTGTCAACACTATAATTCAAGATGAGAAGGAATTTCTTGGCCATATTATGAAATCAACTAACATGAAGTGCCTTACTGCACCGTAAGTCGTCTTCTTCACTGCTAGAATTGCTTTTACTACAATTTAGGGTTCAGTGAGAAGAATGTTCACACCATAGGGTAGTCCAAAATATCATGCCGAGTATGGCGTTACCACAAGCAGTTAAACATTTTAAAACAATTGTGAATTTGTGATTCCAAGATAACCTACCCATGCTATGCTTATTGCTGAAATATATTTCCTCGTTATGAAGTAAATGAAGTTATGTTGTAAATAGGAAAAGGATTTAAGTTTCTGGAATTTCCCTCAATTGTTGGAACACATTCATTGTCAAATGTACTGTGCTGGGGCCGAATATTCAATGTAGTTGGGGCTTGCTATATCAATCTTGTTAGGTCTGATGATTTTTTTGCATTTTTTTAATTTTAGGTAGAGCTAAATGATAAAGATGGATTTGGTCGTCAGTCTGAACTGTGAATGGGCTTCTGTTATTTGTTGCAGATAAATATTTATTGTATTAATAAATCTAGACTTGTTTCTTTGCTGTGGGCTATAAGATGTATGACCAAGCTTATGTCTGGTTGTGTTGGCTAGCATGAACCAATTCAGATCAAAATGTTATTGAAGTCCGGCTGAGCTAGGATTCCAAGATTTCTTATTAGTTGGAATTGGTTCAATTGTCTGACATCACATCCTGCCTTTTTACCCGTAGATCAAAGGAGTCTAGTAAAACAGAATAGTAAACTAAGAGCGAGCTTAACCGAAAATAGGAACAAATGAACAGTGTATCTTCCTTTGTGCTTTGAGTTTTTGCCACGGGACACTTGTAGTCATTCATACATGATGGATTTTGGTTTTCTCACAAAGCATTCTGACATCCTCTGTTTGATTCAGATTGGCACTGGATGGTGAGTGCGGATTCCTGGCAGCCAACTTGTATGCAAAGAGTTTGTTTGGGGAGGACGCCTTGGTGAATGTGAGCATTGAAAAGCAAACAGATGGAAAGCTTAGCGGCTATATCCGGATAAGGAGCAAGACCCAAGGAATTGCTCTCAGTTTGGGCGATAAGATTACACTCAAGCAGAAGGGAGGCAGTTAAAAAGACGTTTCATTTGAACATATAATACCGGTGCAGTGGTACACTCTTCGATCTGAAACTGTGACGTCGAACAATAAAGAAATCATTTGCGGTTTCAATAATGCATATGAATAATGTCTCTCCTCCTGGACGCAAGTTTTGATCCCTTTTCGCTCCGGTGGTACATCATAAGCTGCAGTCTGTGCAGTTTGTTTCAAGGTGCAGGATTATATAATTTTAAACTTAGGGATTCCATTTTAGGCGCGTATTTGGTTCGAGAGGTTGATAGAACAGCTGTAGCACTCCTTTTTGCTTCTGTTGAGGTGAGTTTTATTTCTTTCCCGGAATATTATTTCATAAAATTCAATTGTATGTATAATTTCAGCACCAGTGTTAGATCGGAATTCTGTAGAAACCATTACATTTTTTTGTCAGCAATTGGGGATCAAATTTCGTGTTGGTGGGGTTCTTGGGGATTGATTAATTATGTGCTCGGTAAATTCTTGGGTGCTTCGTAGTATCCGGTGGAAAAAGCATACGCGGCTAGCTAGAGAATCAGCATATGAAAATAGTCAGACAACCATCAACGCCATGAGATGTAATTCAACAAAATAAATTCTATATATACTAAAACTCAGTTTAGCAGCTTCACTGTTTTTAAGCACAGTGAAAGGATGGAATTGCCCCTTTTTAGTGTTCAATTTTGTGGTTCTTTTTGGAAAAGGATCTTGCGAGGATTTGAGGGATCCTGTGATCATAATCGTTCATTGTATATCTTGCGTTCAATTTTCGTTAGATATTATTTATATTTAATTTTAAATTTAAAATGATTTCTGATTGCACAATATACGATGAATGGTTATGATTATGGGATCCCTCGGATCCCCAAGAAAAGTATCCAGTGTGAAATCCCATCCCTGGATTTCACTATTTAAGATTGCGTATTTCATACTTTATATTCTTATTTGTAGTTTTGACGCGTTTGTATTTGCGGCGTATAATTTTTTTTTTTATAAGTGAAAGGATACCCCTATAGTTTTGTGGATCCAATCTGTGACCTGGTTCCTCCACACATTACGACATCGACTATGGCATTTTTTCGACAATCCAATGCTTGCCACCACATTGAAAACATTCCCTATCGTTCCCTCTTCTCTTTCCACCCCAAAATTGATGAAATTTGGCTCGGTTTCATAAAGAACCGCACCGGTGCGTGCGGAGGTTCCACAGTGGCGATCTGCCAACCTGAAGCTAACTTCGTCAACCACTACCACCAATAGACTTTCCTCAACCTCAGGAACAAAGCTCAAGCAGTGGTGGAGGCATTGGAGCTCGTTTTGAGGTCAAATCAAGGACACCCATTTTTGGGCTTCCGGTGGATCGAGGGTGATTTAAGGTGTTTCCCGTCCGAATTGGACTTCGGGCCAGGTATGAAACTTGTTCCTCTCATTGAGATCTACATGCCTGTAAAATTTGGTAATTTTTAGAGTTAATTGGAAAATTGGGTTTCCGTTTGCCGAAAACCGCCACATGAGGCGTCGCGTGGCCATTGGGCCGACATGCCTTTTCAAGTTTGATTAGATGTCCTAATTTCAGATTTGATATCCGCTTGATGTGATTTGATTGTTTGAACCTAGTTTCATTATGGCACTCCACTTGATCATTATATGAATCGACGATCTGACCATTTGATCGTCACCAAACTTTAATGGATTATAGTACGTAATATTTGAAGACCTTAGAAACTTACGAATCGGGAATCTGATGTATGGCTTTTCCAGAATTGAATTTGTAAGTTTGTAAAACCATATGTTGACTGCCTCGTAATTTTAGCGATTGGCGGAGATCCGACCGTTGGATCGTTTCAAATTGTTAGGATATTGTTCTAGAGGATTAATGGGACTCTTGGGAAGTTACGATAAAAAATTCATGGGCGGATATTCCAGATCAAATTACGTAGGGTTGTGGACCCCACTGTTGACTGAGAGTTGACCTTTTGTCAACATGTCTCGAACCGTTTGAAATATTAAAATTAGTATTACTAGAGACTCAGTGAGGCTTTGAGGGCTTATCTCGATGAGTGACTTTAATATATGTGAGATAGTTATTACCTTGAAAACCTCCCGTGCTAGTATACTTCGTGGATACAACATGAATTTTTAAATTATGTTTTATGTTAAATAATTGTTTTTATAAAGTTTGTCATCAATCTACTTTATGAAATGTTATGTTACTTGCCTATTTGAAATATTTATGAACTGTGTTTTGAAATATATATTTGAAATGTTTGTTAAACGTGAAGGCTAGTAGAGGACTGTTACCCTAGCATCATGGGGTTAGGTGACACCGAGTCTGAACCATGTAGCATTGGTACATGGATAGTCCTGCTTGGTTAATCCACGATAGGGGACCATACTATTTATGGATCGTGCTTGGTTAATCTGTGATGGGTGATCCTTATGGCCATACATACTGTGGGGTGATCATCTACGATGGGTGATCACTACCTAACAATTTCGAAGGTGTGACTCTACTCGGTTAATCCGCTATGGGGGGTCACTACCTCCTTGGTTATCTTCTCAGAGGTGGTCCTGCTTGGTTAATCCGGGATAGGGGACCATACTATTTATGGATTGTGCTTGGTTAATCCGTGATGGGCAATCCTTATGGCTATACATACTTAGGGGTGATCATGCTTGGTTAATCCACGATGGGTGATCACTGCCTAATAGCTTCGTAGGTTTTGACTCTGCTTGGTTAATCCACGATTAGGGGTCACTACCTACTTGGTTACCTTCTCAAGGGGGGGCTCTACTTGGTTAATTCGCTATGGAGTCACTTCCTGTTTGGTTACTTACGTAGGCTTCGGCCGAACTGCGTCCCTCCAACCCCAGTTTTTAGTGTATTGATGAACGATAGTTTTTGAGAATCTTTGTGGTTTGAATTAGAAAAGCCGTTGGATGTTTGGGTGACTCCTTCGAAGTTTTTAGTGACTTGACTATGATTTCATAAGTATGAATTTATATTTGAGGTTTATAAATTGTGATCGATGATTTTTTTTTTTATTGATTATCACATACGTTGTATTATTGTCACTCACAAGCTTCGCAGGTTATCCGGGCTCTTGATTGCCTGGTGCATCATTCCTATGGTGTAGGCATTGATTGAACATGCGACAGGTCTAAGTAGATTACGAGAAGTCGTTTGGTATTTTGGTTCTGTTGAGTAGTCTGGAACCTGATGTTGTTGGATTTCGTTGGGTGGTCCGAAATCCCATTCTTCAGAGATGTAGGCTTCGGCCGAACTGTGTCACTCTAGCCCTGAATTTTGATGCATTGTATGTGTTATTGATTGATGTGATTGTGGAATGGTGTTGGAAGCATATGAGTGTGAATGGCATACCTGTGTGCATGGCAAGATGACAATTGTTGTTTGGCTTATGGTTGATGTGTAGTGTGGTACTCTATGTTTACGAAAAATTCAGAGTTTAACAATGGTGAACTACGAATGGCTTGATCCCTATTTAGAGTATGCAGGCAGTCTAACAAGGAGGTTAGATGCATCCATAAAGTATAAGAAATTACTTAGCAAATCAAAGCTTGAGTTGTGCTTTGTCTATATCTCGGAAGCAGGGTATGTTAGTTATACGGGTACTTGGTGACGTCACATGTCGATCCTGGACGTACGTTCAGATCGGGGCGTGACATCCGGCGAGGATCCTTTTCCCTTATTTTTCACACTAGCACAATGAGATGACGAATATTTTGTAGAAAAAGGAGATCAATTATAAGACTCGAACTAAGGATGGCAATGGTTTGGTTTGGAAACAGAAATGCTATATGCATCTCTATAACCACGAAATTAACCATATTCATAATCACAAATTAACCATTGGGGATTATCCATAACCATACCCACTGGGTAATGGATTTTCTAACGGTTAACGGTTATATCCATTTTCGTCAAAACCAAAAAATTATATTCATACAATTGACGCACAAAAATTTAGTAGATACTAATTTCGTCATTAAATAGCCACATCCAATAATAAAAAAACATAGCAATGAATGAATTTTGTAGAGTATAAAAATAAGAGTATTGAGTAAACATTGATGATGTTGGCCATTGATATCTCCCAAAAGTATGATGTTTGATGCGTAATGAATATAGTATAGGGTTCGACACATAATAAATATAATATAGGGTCCACTGGATACTATTATATTATATATTAAATATATTACGCGGTGAATAATGAATATGGTAATAATAGTATAGGTTCACTGAAAATAAATATATATACATACACACACACACATCACACATATATACATATATATAATATAAGTAGTTCTGTTAGATTTGGAATGTGATTGCGTAAATCCTAACAGATCTAATGACACACCCCGACCCAGAAAGTCCACTTGGACCCTGAATCGAGCTGTGCTGGCCGACACCTGGAAGGTGACGAAGCCATAAAATGTGATAGTGCATAAAAAGTGAATAAATTTGAATCTAAAAGTGTCTAAATACCAGAGTGCGCTACGAGTGGGAGCGAACCCATTTCACACGCGATGTCAGAGCATAAGTGAGGTACAGTAGTATGGGTAAGAATCATACCCTCAAAAATATCCATCAATACAAAGATTCGTCACAGATTCTTGTCGATACAAACTCAGCAGTTAAAACCTGGAGGGCACCAAACAGAAGGTGTGAGTAAGCAATAAAACCAAGCTTCCCAAGGTTACTACCTCTCAAAAAGTAATGCCCCTAAATGTAAAACCCGTATCGTTTCCCATAAGACAGTACAACATATATACATATATCCAAACCATACTCGGAAATGACCAAAACCACGGTTTGCCATCAACTCCACCATACATCAATAAGTAGGCCAAATGAACTAAATCAATACAAAATGATATATCAATCGGAGTCACCTATAGTGACCTGTACGACTTATCCACATCTCGTCAATCTTGGCTAGCATGTAAGTCGGAGTCACCTATAGTGACCTGTACGACTTATCCACATCTCATCAATCATGGCTAGCATGTAAGTCGGAGTCACCTATAGTGACCTGTACGACTTATCCATAAGTCGGAGTCACCTATAGTGACCTATACGACTTATCCACATCTCGTCAATCATGGCTAGTATATAAGTCGGAGTCACCTATAGTGACCTATACGACTTATCCACATCTCATCAATCTTGTGCAACACATGGCAACCAGTACGACAGTATCGAAGTTGCCTAACTCATAACTGTAGTCATGCTATAACTCAATCGATTCAATTAATACCATAAACTCACCTGAACTTACCTGGGTGTCTTGAGTTCACCTTTGCACTTGAAAGCATTCCCAATAATTATAAGCAAGTAATATACATATGGATATATCATGATGCAATCTACTACTCAACCATGTCGTAGCATTTTCAATTATAAACAATATG